TCTGAAAATGGGTAGGTGAAAAGAAACATTCTTTGCCACAGGTATCACTTGAAGGTCAAACATTTTTTCTGCTCTTATGTTTCCTTTTGTGCTTTACTTACACACTATCATTGTATAAGGGTGAGGGTGTTAAAGCTGAAATATGAGATACGCGATTATTGTCTGAATACAAGAGACATGTATTCTTCCTAGAATCTTGGTTTGTTTTGAGTATTTCTTCCAGATCAGTGCATTATTCCAGCGTGAAACCATGCATCTATGTTGGAGCTTCCTGTGATAAGGACCGTCCACTGCTGCTCTCTCTTCTTGTGCAGGATGACTGGTCTTGTCTCCACCCCCTCCTGTAGTTTTCTCCAGGTAGCCTGCAGTGGGTGGAGCTAGCTGGGTCCCTTCCACAGCTCTGCTCTCTGCACAGGCTATGTCCAGTACAGTGATAATGTCACTGCTACTTTTATCAAGATAATATCTGAGTTTCCAAAGGCATTTGGTGCACACAATGTAGACTTATATATTTTGTGGCTTTTGAGAAATATATTTAAATGATGTTTTTGTGCCCAGGGTTCATCTTTAATACATGTACAGTATATCCTAGGTAGCTTGGTGGTAGTATGTTGTGGGTGGTGGGTAGGAATACATACAGTATATGCATTGTATTTCATATACATGCTGTAAGAATTGGGGAGCTGTCTTTGTATGGGAGATTTCCGTTACTCCCAAGTTTCTTTAGCATTCAGTTGAAATCACACTGTGTACAGCTGCATGTATATCACTGTGATTCTTGTATTTCTCATTGCAAAAATATACACTTCATACAGGTCAAACTACCCCCATGTCAGTGGCTAACTATATACTGGCTTTTCGTCTAGGGCTGCCTTTCTCAACCTTTTCAACACAGAGGAACCCTTGAAATAACTTTCCAGTCTCAGGGAACCCCTGCTAAAAATGATTATATCTACAACTCATGATACATTAGTGTGATGGTCAGTGCAAAGAATGCATCTTATGATTGTGGTCATTTTTCAGGGTGGGTATATCACATAATATGAAGTGTTTAATGACCATTCTAGCACACATTACATGCTGAGATTGTAGTTCCTGATTTCTGAAAAATACAGTGTACTTTGTCTTGGTGCAGCATTTAGTCCTGCAAAGTATAATATACATTGTGACAAATGTTCTTGTTGTGATCTGATGCACAGAGTAAGGTGACTTCATTCCTATTTAACAGGTACACTGCATTGTTTATTTGCCCATAGAACTTTAAAGAAGGCATGTCACCAACATACAAATTTGCTAAACATAAAATAAGTTTATTGATCTGTACATTAAAATATCAGTGAGAAATTGATTAAAAATAGGAAGTTGATTTACCATATTCTAGTATGTATCTATGTAACGTATACATTATACTTATATGTACATTACATCTAACTATTTTCACAAGTGTTTCCATACAGTCAGATGCATAAAGCAAACGCATCCCATAAATACATAAATATATAAATTCACTTCCTCAGGAGTGAATGTTACTGACAAGATATCTATAGAGTTTAAGAAAATATAAGAAAAACATGAATTAACTTCAAAACAGTTGTAGCATATCAATATAAAAGTGCAGCGCTAGACATGCGAAATAAATTAATAACTTCAATAAATTACATGAATGAATAAATAAGTAATAAGCAGTATAATAATATACTGTATGCAAAATTGCAGGTGGATATGGCGCTTTATCAAGCGCAAAATTAAATGTGATAAAAACAGTCTTATAGATAAGAAGTGTTCAGAAGTAGTGCAGGCTTGACTTGGTCAGGTCAGCAAATATGTGCTTCATTTTTCTAATTCATAAGTGCCTCTCATTAAGAAAATCTGTGTGATTTTAATCTGTGCAGCAACGTATAAAATGAGCACTCACCAGATGCACATAGGTTATGCACATTAAACCAATATGACTGTGTAGGGAGCCCCTTTAAGTGGAACTGTCAGCCAGCCTGGAACAAGGATCCCTCCTCTGGACACCAGCCTCCTCTGCAGCCACGCTTCCTCTGGGGGTCTCTGTGATCTTAGCTCAGATCAGAGCCAAATGATATGAAAGCCTCATAGTGTAGTATTTAAATGAATCCTTTTATTAATAGATGATCATCCAGTAGTTAAAATTGTATCAGAAAGCGAATTCCATAAAACAGTCCAAGAGAATAAAATAGTGTATCAATATCAGCACATGTGGCTGATCAGCCACTTTCCAAAATGGCTGCCGGACCTTTGTGCGGCTCCAGCGGCGTGACATCACAATGTAAAGGCTCCTCCTTGATGCGTTTCGTGCCAGTGCACGTTATCAAAAGGGTTGTGCCTAACGTCGGACGTCCATCTCCTCTATTTATACTAGCGGTGCACCCGGGCATGCGTATTGCGTGGGCGCCATATTTAGTGTAAAGCGGCGCCATTTTATTGGAGGTGAAAATCATGAACCCTAAATGCGCATGCGCATGCACGCTCGCATAGTCCAGTCATGGACGGATTCAATGAACCTCCTATTAGCTACCATCTTCCTCTCGATATACCAAGAGGGAGCAATATACACAAAAATAGGAATAAGAAGTACTTGGGGTAATTATTCACCATTACAAATGTAGATAAATATCAATAGAACAATGGAATATGCACAGATCATCACTCATTGTGGGTTCATCTATATATATTAAGAAAAGGCATATTAAATGTTACTAATGATGCGCATTATAGTAAACAAAAAATACTTAATGTCCCTATAAAATACAAACCATAAAGGGGAAAAAAATTGGAAAAAATAAAGTTAAAAAAACCCCCTTTAAAACCATAAATAATGATTAAATACAAAAAATCAGGATAAAACCACAATGTGGGATCATACAGCAAGATATTCATAAAACCAAATGACTTAAAACGTAAACCCAACTAATCCTAGTATGTTAAAATCATAGTTATATAAATATATAATATAAATATATATATAAATTAAAAGAAAAAATATAGAATATCTATATAGAATAGGGAATGAATCCAGATATACATAAAATATATAAATAAATTATTATCCTAGCATAAAAAGTCATGAGATCATATTCCATAAAACAATGAAACAGTATTACATATATGGAAAAATTGATGATATAGAATAGAACGAGAATGAATCTCAATGTATATAATATAATGTGCCGATCTGTGTGAACTTCCTATAAGGAGATTAATGGTATAAATAAACCCATACTTTCCAGATGATCAAATCTTACCTGTCAAAAAATTCACTAAATTAATGTTAGGGTGCAGATATAGAATAGAATACTCCAAAAGGTTCAAACATGGTTCAGCTAGTATCTATAAAACAGTTGACGTCTAGATCTATATTTAACACTCGTGGATTCAGGATTGGATTTCATAGATCCACTTGGTTTCTAGCTGGGTGACTGCCCTTCGCTTGTTTTGTGCCCCTCCAGTGATGTTGGATGAGGTCAATTCCTGTGAATTTCAGACTTGAGGAATCTCTATTATGGTGATATCTATAATGCTTGGTTAGAGAGTGCTCTTTTAAATCTCTCTTAATGTTGTACACATGCTCCCTGAATCTGTCCCTCAGTCTCCTTGTGGTCCTTCCTACATAGTGCTTATGGCATGGGCATTCTAATATGTACACAACATACCGACTGTTACAGGATATGAAAGGAGAGATTTTATTCTGTTTCCCTGTAACATGGGAGACAAAGGATTCATTCGTCTTCTTCCTTACCCCATATTATTATACATTTCTGAGTTGTAGCAGATGATGGTACTGGTCTAAAGGGGCGCCAGCTTCCCAAGACTTACAAATCACAAAAAACTCTTCTTTCTGGAATCACAGGCTGCGGCCTCTTGAATGGCCGAGCTGTGATGATGTCTTTCCTGCGAGTCACAGATAAGGCACAAAGCTCTGAACGAATGCAGTTCTCTTCAGAGCCTATGAGCCAGTGATGTCACCAGCTGCTGCTCCCAAGAATATCTCCTAAACCAGTGGTTCTCAACCTTTCTAATGCCGCGACCCCTTAATACAGTTCCTCATGTTGTGGTGACCCCCAACCATAAAATTATTTTCATTGCTACTTCATAACTGTAATTTTGCAGTGGGAGGAGTAGTGCCATGTCATTGGTGTCAGTGGAAGGAGTAGTGCCCCATCACTGATGTCAGTGGGATGAATAGTGCCCCATTGTTGGTATCAGTGGGAGGAATAGTGCCCCGTCACTGATGTCAGTGGGATGAATAGTGCCCCATCGTTGGTGTCAGTGGGAGGAGTAGTGCCGCATCGTTGGTGTCAGTGGGAGGAGTAGTGCCCCATCGTTGGTGTCAGTGGGAGGAGTAGTGCCCCATCGTTGGTGTCAGTGGGAGGAGTAGTGCCCCATCGTTGGTGTCAGTGGGAGGAGTAGTGCCCCATCGTTGGTGTCAGTGGGAGGAGTAGTGCCCCATCGTTGGTGTCAGTGGGAGGAGTAGTGCCCCATCGTTGGTGTCAGTGGGAGGAGTAGTGCCCCATCGTTGGTGTCAGTGGGAGGAGTAGTGCCCCATCGTTGGTGTCAGTGGGAGGAGTAGTGCCCCATCGTTGGTGTCAGTGGGGGGAGTAGTGCCCCATCACTGGTGTCAGTGGGGGGAGTAGTGCCCCATCACTGGTGTCAGTGGGAGGAGTAGTGCTCCATCACTGGTGTCAGTGGGAGGAATAGTGCCACATCATTGGTGTCAGTGGGAGGAGTAGTGCCCCATCATTGGTGTCAGTGGGAGGAGTAGTGCCCCATCATTGGTGTCAGTGGGGGGAGTAGTGCCCCATCATTGGTGTCAGTGGGGGGAGTAGTGCCCCATCATTGGTGTCAGTGGGGGGAGTAGTGCTCCATCACTGGTGTCAGTGGGGGGAGTAGTGCCCCATCACTGGTGTCAGTGGGAGGAGTAGTGCTCCATCACTGGTGTCAGTGGGAGGAATAGTGCCACATCATTGGTGTCAGTGGGAGGAATAGTGCCCCATCATTGGTGTCAGTGGGGGGAGTAGTGCCCCATCATTGGTGTCAGTGGGGGAGTAGAGTAGTGCCCCATCATTGGTGTCAGTGGGGGGAGTAGTGCCCCATCATTGGTGTCAGTGGGGGGAGTAGTGCCCCATCATTGGTGTCAGTGGGAGGAATAGTGCCCCATCACTGGTGTCAGTGGGGGGGAGTAGTGCCCCATCACTGGTGTCAGTGGGAGTAGTGCCCCATCACTGGTGTCAGTGGGAGGAATAGTGCCACATCATTGGTGTCAGTGGGAGGAATAATGCCCCATCATTGGTGTCAGTGGGAGGAATAGTGCCCCATCATTGGTCTCAGTGTGGTGGAGGGAGGAGAATAGTGCCCCATCATTGGGGTCGGGGGGGGGGGGGAAATAGTGTCCCATCGTTGGTGTCAGTGGGGGGAGGAATAGTGCCCCATCATTGGTGTCAGTGGGAGGAATAGTGCCCCATCATTGATGTCAGTGTGGTGGAGGGGAGAATAGTGCCCCATCATTGGGGTCAGGGGGGGGGGGAAATAGTGCCCCATCGTTGGTGTCAGTGGGGGGAAGAATAGTGCCCCATCGTTGGTGTCAGTGGGGGGAGGAATACTGCCCCATCGTTGGTGTCAGTGGGGGGAGGAATACTGCCCCATCGTTGGTGTCAGTGGGGGGAGGAATACTGCCCCATCGTTGGTGTCAGTGGGGGGAGGAATACTGCCCCATCGTTGGTGTCAGTGGGGGGAGGAATAGTGCCCCATCGTTGGTGTCAGTGGGGGGAGGAATAGTGCCCCATCGTTGGTGTCAGTGGGGGGAGGAATAGTGCCCCATCGTTGGTGTCAGTGGGGGGGGGAGGAATAGTGCCCCATCGTTGGTGTCAGTGGGGGGAGGAATAGTGCCCCATCGTTGGTGTCAGTGGGGGGGAGGAATAGTGCCACATCGTTGGTGTCAGTGGGGGGAGGAATAGTGCCACATCGTTGGTGTCAGTGGGGGGAGGAATAGTGCCCCATCGTTGGTGTCAGTGGGGGGAGGAATAGTGCCCCATCGTTGGTGTCAGTGGGGAGAGGAATAGTGCCCCATCGTTGGTGTCAGTGGGGGGAGGAATAGTGCCCCATCGTTGGTGTCAGTGGGGGGAGGAGTAGTGCCCCATCGTTGGTGTCAGTGGGAGGAGGAATAGTGCCCCATCGTTGGTATTAGTGACACAAATGATGGGGCACTATTCCTCCCACTGACACCAATGATACTTACCTTGCTGACCCCTGCTCCAGCCTGGGCTCGCTCTCTCACTTACCTGTCAGCTGTCTTCCTTCTCTGGCCGCTCTCCTCTTCACTCGCTCCCTCGGTCTTCTTTGATGTCCGCGCACTGCCGCTTGGCTCCTCCTCTCCAAGCTCCACCTCCTCGCCGGTGATTGGCCGCCTGTGTGCCTCTCCTGAGCTACAGTTCCGGTGGCCAATCAGCGGCGAGGAGGCGGAGCTGCTGAGCGATCTTGGAGGTGTGGCCGGGGTGACAGCAGCGTATCATCCCGCCCACACATCGCCGGAGACTGCAGCGGTGTCTCGGTTCCTAAGACCATCGGAAATATGTGTTTTCTGATGGTCTTAGGCGACCCCTGGGAAATGGTCGTTCGACCCCCAAAGGGGTCGCGACCCCCAGGTTGAGAACCGCTGTCCTAAACGGTCAACAATTAGTAAATATTCATTTTATCTACAGGTAAGCTTTATTATAAGCTTGCCTGTAGGTAAAATTCAAAACTGAGAGTTTACTAGCTCTTTAATGTTGTTCACCACTGGGGCATATCTCAAAACAGATATTTTCAAAATTTCCAAAATTCTGTTCTAAAGGAAGTTGTGCAGCACATCTAATATTCTACCAGCTTCAGTCATTGGACATTTTTTGTATAAATCCTTGAGACCCCAACAGGTGTGCTCTCCCATAATCAGCTTATATGTAACTATAGGGTAATTCTATTTCACTTTCTAATTACAGTACATGTGATGTACATTTTACAGCAGATTGTTCAGATTCCTCTCCCAGCTGAATGGCAATGTTAACAAACATTAGATGGGTTTACCAGCTGCCTCTGTCAAGCCTTGCCTCTAAAAGGCCTTGTTTATACTGGCGGCTGGTAAAAATAGGCAATTGAGTCACAGTTTTACTGACCTCTGACTGCCTGCGATAAGCTAACATATTAGCCAGAGGGGGTGATACACATGACATGGCTACAGCAAAAAAATACCACCACTGAATATGACCCAAGTGGGTCACATCTAAATATAATTCAAATGCACACCACTACAACAAGGTCTGGCAAGCTTTCAGTTGGAAAAACTATCCAGGAGGTGACATACCTGCCCTCTAAAAAGTGATCTACTGCATATTGCTTTTCAGAGGGCATCACAAGTGTAAACAAACCATCACCTCTGAGGGCGCACTTTCCGTGGTGTAACCTTTTACCTTCCCCTGCAGACCACCACATCCCCATCCCTTTCTAACCAATTGGTGCAGAAATATCTGAATGTACTTTCATTGCTTTCAGCAGTTTCCCTTCCCTCTCTCTCCTGTGCTGAAACAACAAGACCTGTGGCCACTGATCTTACAATTGTCATGCACAACAGCATGCAAATGTGAGAAAGAAAGAGATCCAGCTGTTTCCTTACTCTACTCTTTTTCAGCATGGAAAATATAGGACGCCTGCACTTCCCCAACTCCTTTATTCAGCTGATGATGTAAGTTTGTGAGCTAAGGAAGTAGCATTGTGATTGTCTTCCTTTATGACAGGGCCAAAGCTACACACCCCAAATACCATGTATACATTCATCTATAATCTTCATATATAAAAAGGGCACAAGTGCAGAGTCCATACCAGGGGCGGACTGACAACTCATGGGGCCCCTGTGTCCTTGCCCAAACTCAAAAAAGCCTATGAAAAAGGTACCAGGGGCATCTCATGGGACCCCCTACTGACCCTGGGCCCTCGGGCAGTGCCCGAGTTTCCAAATGGTCAGTCCGCCCCTGGTCCATACTGATATGCCTTTTCTTACCAGATAAGCATATCAAGTGACACTGCCCAGGTTAAAAAACACCAGTCCATTTCTGGCGGGCAAGCACCAGACATTTCAGTGTACTGTGGAGGAGTTTGTCTGCCTCCCATGTGGTTGCCTCTCCAGTGAACTGTTGGCTTCAATTCTTGACCCAAAATGAGCATGCAGATCAGACATTCTGTCAACCTCTGGGTCTTTGAAAATACTACCCCACAATGATTTTGCAGTACACATTTATTGCAATTTGAATATACCCTTCAAAGGGTACATTTCAAGCTTTGTAAAAAATAACTCTGGAAGGTGACTGTAGTCCATTGTTGAGTTTGGAATGTTTTTCTAATTACTGTTCCGCTTTCTGGTTACATTATTACATTGTTTTAAGTGTAGTGTAATATATTGTGTGCGAAATGTAGATAGATAGATAGATAGATAGATATTGAATGAACTTACGTAGCTCAATAGCAAGTCCATTTACACATTAAAAGGGAGGTCATCAAGACTGACAGAAATGGCATGCTATTCCTATGCTATTTCTAAAAATGGTAATTGGCCAAACAGACCATTGTTTACTGTACTAAGTCTGTGGGTTGAGGGATGTAAAAACTACAGAGGACCTTAACTGGTCTTTTCATCTTGATTAAAAATAAAATCAAAAGTGTTTGGGTAGCCAATCAGAAACTGCTCCAGGATCATTAACTGTTTTTTTCAGTGGTGATTTTTTTAATTTTGTATAGAGCAGGGAAGGGTTGAAACCCTGCCAGGTTATTTTATTGGCATCTCTGTACCTTTGGCTAAATCTCCCTTAACTTCCTGTCCCAAAGACTGGAAGTGATGGGAAACCATAAAGTGAGAGGAATCCCCCTATAAGACAATTGTCCCTACACAGGGGTCCCTATTGGAAGAGATCCCCTCTATGTTTGGTCTAGGGGACACTGCTAATATTTTGAATTTCCTATCATTTTCTTTCTTTGGGACAATGTTCACCAGGACAAACAGAGATGTAAAACCAGATGGAGAAGCAGAAAGCATTAAAAACTTGACAGATGGTCTAAACCCTTCTTTACTTATCCTAAACTATAGAAAGGCTTTACCTAGGGACCCTGTTTAATGTAATCACAAAGGCTTTTGTTGAAAGTATGAGAACTGGACCTTGGAAACACTCTAAAATCCCACCATGTGTTTACTACTATAATGATTCTCTACACATATCAATCAGACTAGAGCCCTCCATCAATGGAATATTTCTCCCCAAATATGATCCTTCCTCAGATTTTTTTTTTTCCTAATAAAGGGAGGATATAGAGTAGGACATCTTACAAAATATCATTTATTGGATTATTTTTATGATGACTTAAAAACTGGGGAAATTTGTGTTTTTATGTGTATTTTTTTAAACCTGACTGTGTTTTTATAGCCTTACTATGAGCCTAATCTCCGCTACTTCTGTGATTTCCCGGCTGCCCCATGGGTACATATTGACACTAGCTGAACATCTGGCAAAATCACCTTTTACTAGTTACTGTATATACTTTATTAAAAAAACATCTTGCTTGTTCATTAGTTAACAGTCTGGTTTTCTATATGGCAAAGATGTCTTAGTCTCTTTATCCTAATATCCAATGTAAACATAACAATATACACCATGGTGCTGTAAATATTAATAGTTTGCAATAGTGCTCTACTTTGCCAAAGATATCATTATAATAGATAACATTTCTCACTTTCAATAGCTAAGATTTGTGATACAGAGAGCTACATATTGATCATTATCATGGTTAATAGGTTTATATTGGAATATTAATAATAATGGAAATATTTGTAGAATACTACACGATTATCATTACTTATGACAGTTTCATGGTGATCGCTGATTGATGTGTAGTCCACAATATTCCCTCTGCTATTAAAGAGAAAATCAAAAAGACAGTGGAAAAAGAAAAATAGATATAAGATAAGAAGGAGGGAAGGGAGTGAGCAAGGATATTGAAATGCAACATGGTATGGTAGGGGAGGGGAAAAGAGATTTAGAAAAAGAAAGAAAAGGGCCAGGGGGTTTCTGATTTACCTTCCCCTGGGATAATATTTAAAGAATATCTTAAATATCATTCAGAAGTGAGGCATGGGCATATTGGACCACACTTTGAGGAATTTTCTGTAGGTATCAATAGATATGCTTGTAACTTTCTCGTTGACAAAGAATGAATTCATGTATTGTTCAATTTCCTCTAAATATACAAATTGTTTTTTCCATACTTTGGCAATAGTTTGTTTAGCTGTTAAAAGCACATATATTATTAGCCTAAATTGAGATTTAGTGAGAGAGGGAAGTGTAAGGTGGAGAAGCACAAGCCTAGGGTTTTTAGGAAGAGAACATTTGAATAGTGTATGTAGAAGTTTAAATACCCTCATTAAAAAAATCTACCTAGCATGGGGGACGCCCATCTCATGTGAAGCACATCACCAGTAACATTACAGCCTTCAAAACACATATTGGAGTGATCAGGAAGTATGCCAGTCTGGTCGGTACCATGTACCATTGAGTAAAAACCTTGACACCCATTTCAGTTACAAACACAATAATGGAAAGTGTGGAAACTGTGGACCAAAGTCTTGTTACTTTTAAGGTCACTCTCCCACTGGAAATGTAGAATGTAGGGGCTGAGATTGAGCTCTGCAGTAATTTTTGTAGCAGTTGTTTTCTTATTCCGCGTCACAATCCAACGCAATATCCTTTTGTCTCTTTCAGTCAGTCAATTGCATTTATGCTTATCAGATGATGTTTTCCCAGAAACTGTATATGCCACCAAAACCTTTGATACTGTACCTCGTGACATGGCAAATAAATTGACAACTTGAATCACAGAGGCACCAGCTAAGCGAGCACCAACAATTTGCCCTCTTTGAAGCGCAGCTATCTCTGACATGACAATGTATGACAGCAGCACATGCAGTGAATGATGAAAGTTAGGCTTCCCACCTGTTAGCTAAATGGGACTGCACTGTAAAAGGGGACTGTAATCATTACAGTGCCCTTTTTCAGTGTAGTCCCCTTTATATCACAGTGCCCATTTACATTATAGTGTGAAGGGTCGACTCCGTGAGCACCCCTTCATCAACCGCCCCCACGAACAACCCCCCCCCCCCCACCCATCCCCGCTCATTCAAATGCCTGGGCCTATTTTTTGTCCCAATCTGGGCCTGACCACCACCAGCCTAAAGCGTTAATACAAGGCAGGAGGAGTCCACGCTTTCATGTTGTTTACGCCAAATTCTGACCCTGCCATCTCAATGTCGCAACAACCAGTCTGCATATTCTCCTCTGACCTCTGACATTAACAAGGCATTTTCGTCACACAACTACCGCTCACAGAGATATTTTGTCATTTTATGGACCGTTCTCTGTAT